CACTAAAGGTATTCTGTAGGTCAACTGGACAGTCGAAGCAGAAATGAACTGAAAACTGAATTTTACCAGTATACAAACGAAGGATTATTTATTAAGCCACAATTGATTTTTAAGGCATCCACAGGGGCTCCTAATAAGTTTAGCAGCAGAACTAAGGGTTAGAACTGAATTTTTTATTTTTTTTTTGGCAATAAAATAGAAAATATATATACTGTAATTTCTACAACCAAACTACGTTAATGCTGATAACATTGTTTCAGTTTACTTCTCTTTTTCTTTTTTTTGTAAACATCATGCTATTATAAAATGCAACACCCTTTTTTAAAGTGTTTAATTGATATTTCTTTTTGTTCTAAAACTCTGGAAGCATAAATCAAACTTTATACAGTGGATATTTTAGGAAAGTTCATCCTAACCTTTTTTGAAGGCTTAAGTAGGTTTTGAGACTTGTAGTATTTATAGTGTTTGTTTTTAAATGTGAAGCACTTTGTTGCCGCCGTGGTTCTTATAAAGTGCAACATAAATAATAAAAGTAGTAGTAGTGGTATAGATGAGGGAAATGACTCGGTCACTGAATCCCACTGAGACTGAAAAAATGTTACCTATTTCTGCACAATAACACATTCATTTATAGATTTTGTTTTGATTAGACAGACCTGGTTTTGTCATTTTGCCTTTATTGCGGCTTTCCACATTTTTATTTCAATACAACTGAAATTATGCAGCGATTTAAGACAAAGGTTACTAGTTTCCTCGATTACTAAGAACTGATATTAGCCCAAATGAAAGCTCTTAAATGTTTGATAAAGTCTCTTCACCAGTGTTGGTTCCTAGTACAATCCATATTTAATGGGAGACCTGGTATAAATGAATAAATAGCACCAATATAACTGAATCTTTATATGAAATAGCTTCATATCAGATTTAAGAAACAGCTGCAGTTCAACATTTTAGAGTGCATTTAAAACACCCAACTCTAGAGGAGAAAGAGGCCCACAGCATTATAGAGTCTCCTAAGCTTCCTTTTCAACACGCACAGCCTTTATTTTATGACACATGAGCCTGTAGCATTTGAAAAGACAAATTTTGATTTCTACTAGTTTTTCATTTATCATGATAGTCCACAATAGGCCTCTGTTTTCAAAAACTGATTATCAAATGGTTGATCTAAAGAAAAAAACTTGTTCATGCAGCCTTATTTCTTGCAGTTTCTGTTGTTTTAAATTATCTATTTGGTTTTCTTACAGTAGCTAATGACAACTCTAGACGAGCATGTAATTTAAAATACATGGGAGTGGGGCTTGGATTCTGGGATCCATGCGCAATGCACGAACCACTAGGCCACCACTACCCAAGTGTTATTCTTTACAGAGCTGTAAAGAAATAAAACTTCTGCTTCACTTGTTCAGCCTGTTTTCTATTCTTTCTAATTCTGAAAAGTAGTTTAGAGATTCAGCGTTCCATTAACAATTATATTTATTTATTTAGTGATTATTTCCCCCCCTCTAATCAAATGTACTCCTATGAACACCTGGATTTTAAATTGATCCTGTAACAGAAAGGAATTAATTTTTAGGCTTTAAACTGTGAAAACATATTTTCTCTTATATAGAGAAATTAATTAGGCTTTCTGCAAGAAAAGGTTAATCAACAAATCTTTTAGGACAACTGGACAATTAAAGCAGAAAGTCCAATTAGGAAATAAAAAAAGTTTTTTCTTTAATTATTTTGCACAAAAAAAAATTTAATGTAATGTGATAAATTTGGACTTTAAAGATCACGAGAAGGTTACCTAATCATGAGGATGGCATTAAGTTATTTTGTGATATAAATCTATAAAAGCAGAGATGCAATAATGTTACTCTTCTGTATATTATGCTACTAAATTCATATGATTACATATGAGCTCCAGTAATGCAGGTATCCTCCGAGCTGATGACATCACAGCCATCACTGACTGAAAGTATCTTATCCTTAGGGATGGATGCTAACATCAACATGTAACATCCTGGTCTGGGTTTATCTGCAGAGCTGAGGCGCTACATCAATTGCTTCATTGAGATCAGTTTATTTCCCTGTTTGCTCTGTAGATTTCCCCAGAGATATCCATCTCAACATGTGATGAAACGACAATTGGCTACATAAATGAGAGAGGGGAAAGTGTGTCAATTAAAGATATCTAAATCCATCCTGATTTGGGAAAGCACTGAGGCCTGTGTTATCTGAGCAGGGCCCCCAGAGGAAGGAGCTAATGACCTCGCAGACGGTCGAACCAATCGATGGACAGGTTCAAAGCAGCGGACACAGCAGCTCTACTTCTATACTTAAAGAGAACCTCTGATGTTTATTACAAGAGTGCCCTGGATTCTATGAACAGTTTGCTCCTGGCTTTGAACTGAGTTTGAGGTCATAAATGTTATATATAAGTAACAAAGTTTTTAGAGCCAGACGTTTGCATTTCCAATTCCACTTTTACTCCTTTTTTTAACCAAGGATGAGCTGGAAGATATTCGGTGAGTTGGGATTTCAAATTTGAACCACTAGATGTCTTTATGTTGTACAGACTGAACCTTTAAAGAATAAACTCCATCTTATTTTAGGCCCCGTCCTAAATGAGACAAGATTATATGTGTTTGCAACTGTATTTGGTCATTTAGGCAGTGTATCCACATGGATCTGGCCTTTAGGGACACCATAAACTATCTGTAGGAGCTATTTCTCCATTTTCAGTTAATTCTTAGAATTTAGTTTGATTTGTTATTTAGAATAAGATTTTTTTTTAGTGATTCACTTACTTAATTTTAGCTTGGGATGTTGGTGTTACACAGTATAAATAGGGAGGTCTTAGGTAGCTCATTATGCACGTGGGTGGTCATATGTTTTTTTTTTTACCAGTTTGCAGTTCTTAGTCACAGTCACAGTTCTCATTTTTCAGCCGGTCAATCAATCAGTCAGTCAGTCAGTCAATCAAAGAACAGGTGCAGGAATCAAAGTGAGAGCAATAGAAGAATCCTGTGAAGCCTGTAACCTGTTTGTCTGAATGGAGAAATAAAGCAAGCAACGAACTGTATTTTGACTTTTTGTACTGCGTAAGCCAGAATCCACAGGGCAGCAGGTGGCTATTTGAGTTAAATTCAGCTTTTGCTTTGATCACTTCTTTAGTTTTTTTAATTTTGAATTTTAGTTTTGTACAAATAGTCACTAAACTATCAGTGGAACATTTTCAAAACTAGGACCTTTTTGAATATTGAATATTACTATGTCTACAGTAGTGCTGCATGCACTCAATTTTAAGCAATTAATTTAAAAATATTTCATGAAAAAAAAACATGTCCATCATAGGGTAAGGTATGCCTTTGAGCCTAAAGCACCAAAACTCTGAAAGTAGGGAATTGTTTTTTCTGTGCTTCATTGCTCCTTTTTTTTTTTTTTTTTTTTACAAAAGTTAAGACTTGACCTAGTGTGTGGTTCAAGATATTTTAGATTCAACTGAAACAGCAACCTGGGAGAAAGGAGCATAATACCAAGTCAGGACTATATAGATATCTCTATTAGGATCGACAGCCTTATCTCTGTTTTTTATGGTAAATGGTAAATGGCATGTAATATATACAGCGCCTTTATTCAAGTCAGGAGAGTTGACCAAAGCGCTTTACACTACATTCATTCACCCATTCACACATACACTCACACACTGATGGTGGCAAGCTACACTGTAGCCACAGCTGCCCTGGGGCTCACTGACAGAAGCGGGGCTGCAGTACACTGGCACCACCGGGCCCTCTGACCACCATCAGTAGACACTATGTAGGTTTTGATGCAAGTATTAGCATAGTTTGAGATCCACTATATGATCATTAGGTCAATACACAGCACTTGGTTAGTAACGATGCTCCATGTGGGTTGTACTTCTCAAAACTTTGCAACCTGAAAGGGTCTGAACCATCACTGAGAGAATCATGTGACCCAGAGCTCCAGTTAACAGCAATATGAGTTTCCCTTAAACCAGAAGAACAAACCCTAAAAAGCCGTTGTTTAGTGACACAATTGATACAGCACCTACCTGATCAGGCATACATTTGATTCTATAGCACACATTTACAGCATATGTCATCTCAAGGCTCCTTACAGAGAAAATTTATTAAATCATGCTAAAATCAAGTTAAAAGTTTTCTGTCAGCTGAATGCATCCAGTCATTGACTCTGCAGCAATCCCTCATACTGAGCATGCTTATAGAAGCAGTGGAGAGGAAAAACTCCCTTTTAGCAGGAAGAAACCTCCAGCAGAACCAGGCTCTGTGTGAGCGGCCATCTGCCGAGGCCATCTGGGGTTGAAGGAAAATGTGGACTTGTCTTTCCAAGTGACTCAGTGACTTCTCAGTGTGCTGGTCCAAAGTGGTCTGCTATCAGATTCATTTAGGGAGCCCTTTTTGTTTTCTGACAGTTTAGTAGTTCCAGTTACTTTATAGGGCACTAAACCTGGAAGTTAAAGAGATGTTATGTACGTTTTAAAAAAATATATCTTTAAAAAAGCCTTTTTATTTAACCCTTTACAAAACATGATTTGATTAGCAGACTGACACTCCAGTAATTCAGCACTTATGCTTATAAGCTTGTAGCCTATTTTGCTGAATTTACTTCGGGTGAAAAGTTCCCTCGCTGTTTGGTGGATGTTACGTCAAGTGCGTCCATTTTAAATGGGTCTGATCTAGAAAACAATCGTATCATTATATTCAAGATGGACTTTGTGAATATTCAGAATTGACCGGCATCCAGCTCAACTAAGTCACCAATGGTAACTCCACGCAAGGTGAAAAAAACGTTTTTTTTTTGTTTTTTTTTAAAGCCACCTGTGGCAGAGTCATTAGAAACCTCTGTAATGCCTCTTTAAAGGCTAAAAGTGAATAAATGTCACACAGGGCTGCTTTAACGTTTCCTCTGTGGACTCATATGCTTACATCTTATTACATATTTTATGACAAATTCTCTCTGCAGAGTGGGTCTTCTGCAACAAATCACACATTAATAGCTGGACTCATCATTTCACTATATCAGAACCCATAGCCGGTAGTCATATCTCATAAAATCTTCAATGAAGACGCCTCTGAAAGAAAAATGAAAAATGATTTGACATCCACCTTACTTAAACACTGCTAAACAGGAGTAAGAAGCTAAACAGGAGTAAGAAGGTAAAAAGTGAGACTTTAAGTTGCTTCTATTAATTGTTGCTGATTCATTTTCACACGACTAACTGGAAGTATATCAGTGTCGGTTTTGCGAGGTATTATGGTAATGATGCATGTTCAGCACTGAATTCATTTTTTAAGATTTTTTTATTCGTTTTTATCTGAAGCAGTCATTCAACGTGAGGGTAAATGCAGAATGTTTTTAAATACCTTATTAATTTCCTATTTCATTGGCTGCAGTCACACAATTCCTCGACTTTCCCCCTTATTGGATAAATAGCTCAGATTTAAGCTACAGACGGTCATCTTTGCCCTCTACCGAGGAGGACACTGTTCTGTATTGATGCCTGATTTAAGTGTAACAAAACATTTATTAGCAACCTCTGACTGCCTCATTCTTGTTTTTGATATGCTTCTCTTTTAAATCTTCAGACATAGAAATCAACTGCCAGCAACAACACTAATCACAAATGAATAGACAACGATTAGAAAGATAATTTTCCTTTTTTCTATGAAAGAATTTTAGTTGCTTTTCTTGTATAAAGACAATAAAAAACATATTTAAAAGCTTAAGCACTAGAAAGTGTAATATGGTTGAGTAATAAGATGCTTTATACCTCAAAGTGTTTTTAAAATTTTATTCTGTTTAATTTATTTAAAAATTATCGATTTTTATTGCATACTTTTTTATTTTAAATAAGATAGAATAGAATAAGTATTTAGAAAATTCATATTTGACTATCTTATTTCAGCTTGAGAAATTTTAAGAAGATGCTGATTTATTTCTTATGCACATTTACATTTACATGTCCTCCAGAACAGGAAAGGAAATGACTGGGAAAAAAACAACCTTTAGTTAAAGAAAAACTAATGAATAAATTTACAGCAACCTAACAGGAAATTGCTTTTCTTTAGCATCCAACAGGATAAACCTTAGACCCAAAAGAAAAGAAAAAAAAAAGGAAAAATAGCTAAATGCATTCTACCAAGTTGTTAAAGACAGACAGTCAGGGCTCCCTGTTATTTCAGTTCATGAGGGTTGGGGGGCTGGTAAAGGACCTCAGAGACCCAGCTGGCGGGCAGGGACAGCCAGGCAGGGTAGGGTCTATGAACCCATCCCCTCTAACACATGAGACATCTGACTGTTATCAAGTCCTGGGGGATAAATCCATTACAGAGAAAGGCAGTAAAGCTGATTAACTCTCTTCTGTCTCCACCGAATGAGAGAGAAAAGCATTGCAGAAACGCATGATCAAGTTTGAAATACTACACCCCGTGACGTTCACATATGCCCTTTCCTTTTCCCAATTTAAACAAAAAAAGGTCTGCAGTGTGTGTTGCATAATCTGCTTTTTTTTGCTCCTTTGTCATTTTCCAGCAACTTGCAGCAGTAAAGGAGAAAGGAAGAGCACTTCATTACGACTTATAGATACAAGCTGCAGTTAAACAAACAAAACAAAAAAAAAAAACATACTCCCTGTTTGAATTGTCCAGCTTTTGCAGATAATCTTGAAAGAGATAGAAACAGGACTGTATTGTATATTAAACTGCACCTCCTGCACAATCTGGCTCTTATCAGGACAGATGCATTTATCTGTCCCAAATAAAGGATAAAATATGAGACTTTATATTAGAGCAGGCTTTAGATTGAACCAAAACAATAGGAAAATCCTTAAAAAAAAAAAAAAAGTGACATCAGGATGAAGCCCCTCCTCATAAAACTCCCATCAATAAAGGTCAAACCCGTGGGGAGGGTTAGGAGGATTAACAGGATGACATGATGGATGGAAAACGTGTTTAGATTTGAGATATAGATAAAAAATGAACTATAATAAAGCGGAAAAAGTCAAGGGCACAAACAACAATCACATGTCCTGTATTTGACTTTTATGTTTTGGGTCAAAAAGGGAGGAAGCCCTACAAATTACCTGCACCAACCCCCCACTGACCCCATTGCACCTCCTCCCATGACCAGACTGTCTGATTCACATAAACAACAAATAAAAAAATTTTAAAAAAGTACACATTTTGCAAGGGCCTACAAAACGACCAATCACAGCATTTTAGTAAAGCACTATCACAGTCAGTGAAATGTGGGTGAGATTGTGTGATGGTCTGGGGGAGTTCTTCATCTTCAGGCTGCAGCCTAACACTAAAATGAACAGTTAGACTCAAAAATCCTCCACTGTGGTCAAAATAAAATGATTCAGCAGAGGAGAGACTAACTTCTGTAAAAGCCTAACTTCCAGTTAGGTGGCAGCTCATGGTTACAATTTAGTCCGCCTTTGTATAGCTTTTGAGCTTAGAGAACATTATTCCAAAACTGTTCTTTGTATCAATCTAGAATTACTGACTGATATTGAAATATATCTGGTGATCTCAAACATTAAGTAGTAACAAAAGAAAAACAACAGATGTTAACAAATATATATCCATCTATGCAATGCATCAGTAGGTGTTGGATTGTAAACACATAAAGGTGCAGAAACTTTAAAAGGTATAGTGGAGGATTTTCACGAATTTTTCACGAAAAGACCCGCCCGCTCCACCTTAACAAAAGAAAAAGCACATGCACAACCCTGTACCCGCTCCCAAGAGAGAACGCCTATTAAATGTATGTGAGAGCGTGCACAAGCCCATTTCTCCTCGTGCACGCTCTGTTTAAAAGTTGCTGTTTGCATCGATTTGCAATTTGTTCACTATGTCAGACTCACCACCGGTAAGTGAAAATGGGGACGAGCACGTAGGACACCCTTACATAAACAGCTCACCAGAATGATTGAAACTTAGGAGGACCATTTATTTAGATGATCCACCCGGAAAAAGAACATCCTCCAGTATACCTCTAAGTCTGATATACAGAAAAAACAGGGCATCCAAAACCCCACTGAATTTTGAAAATGTTCAGCGTGGAAAGTATAAAGCCTGCAATTTTCTGACTTTGTTAGTTCAGCAAAGGGCAGTGATATACTCCACACTTCATAAAATATTCATGTTCTTGCATGACTTGATGTACAGATCTACTTTTATGTTTTCTAGAACTACTTAAAAGCTGCTGTGTTTTAAAGTGGGTCTGTATTTGAAGCTCCATCAGAAGAAAATTAAAAACTATATTTGGGGGCCCCCCCATCTGCCCACCCATCATAAAACTTTCTAGAGGTCGGCCCTGCACTGAAAAAAAAAATCAAAATCTAGATAAATATTTTTTTCTTAAAATAAGTGTGTTTGTTCTTGGATTGAGGAGGTAAAAGACACATTTTGCCCATGGAACAAGACAATTTACATTTAAAGTAAGAAAACACTATTGCATTGTCTTATTTCAAGTGCATATCATCTAATTATCTTACTGTAAAAGTAAAAATACTCATTACATAGGCAAACTATCTAATTTACCAACTCAAATTAATGATAAATACGCTTAATTCTGAGGCATTTATACTTATTTTTTGTAGATGTTTTTTTCCAGTGTGGCTGCCAGAATTATACATTTCTATGAAACACCGACCCGTACCTTGAGGTAGTCGTTTTCAGATCTCAGTTCATCTATCTCCCGCAGCAGGTCATCCTCTGCTGCAGCCTTGCTTCCTGCGCTGCTGGAGGCTTTCTGCGCTTTCTGGGGCCCCTGAGAGGACAGAGCCCCCATCGGCTGATCCCGGTCGCTAGAACCGGTACCGGACTCTGCGTCGCTGGCAGGTACCGGCTTGTGTTCGTCAGACAGCGGCTCGGACTCCGACAGGTCGGAGCTGCTGTCCGTCTGGGTGACCCGGCCGAGGGTGGCCCCGGTGGGTACCCTGATCGGGGATCCATGGCTGAGAGGCCCCGCGGTGGGTTTGCCCTTCTTGCCTTTGCTGAGGACCGGGCTGCTGGTGCTGGCGGGTTTGGGCTCCGCGGCTGCCGCAGGCTGCAGCACCTTGCTGGGCTTTTTCGCTGCGGGGGACCTGGTGCTACTTTTCGGCGCGGCTGGTTTCTCTTTGGCCCCTGTTATGTTGCGCCTGGAGCTGCGGTTCGGATGCGCTGTGGACACCGCGGCGGACTGATGCTGCTTGCTGAGTTTCGGGGATTTGGGGACGATGGCAGGTGGTTTGTTGGAGCGGGGGTGCACATCCTTCAGGAAAGGTCTGGCAGGGGAAGGCGCTCGGTTCAGCCTCTTCTTCTCCAACTGTTGGCTCTGCGGCTTGGAGTCAGAGCCATTGGAGCTCTCCATTATACAGGAGGATGATGAAGGAGGCGATCAATCCACGGCACCGGGGGGAGGCTGTGACGCGCGCCTGAAGGGAAACAGCCGGGTTGATGTGCCTTCTTCTCCCTGATCGGGCTGAGGATGCGCATCCTGCGGCGAGCTTCGTTTTTACTCCATCATTCAGCAGGTTGTCATTGTACTCCCCTCTGCCTGTGGAGCTTTCTGAGGAAACACCGCAATAAAGGAGATGGGATTACCGGCAGGTTGCATCTGCAGCCCGGGCTGCTTCAACTCAACTCTTCAAGCCTCAGAAGTGAGTCGGAGCCGCATCACACCTCCTCCTCCTCCGCAGAAAGGCTCTCCATTCCTGTTTCAAGCGCACCGGTCCCGCCGTGAATAGCACTCCACATATGTGACAAAAAAATAAAAAATAAATAAATCTGCCACCGCTGCGGTGAGAGGATCGACGCCCGTGGATTCCTGCGGGGCGCATGCGCTGCTGTGCGCTCTGCTGCGCATGTCCTACAGGCTGCTGGACACCTTCTCTCACGCTCCAATCCCCACCCTGTTTATGGACATTATAAAGGAAACACCTCTCTCATAGAGTATTAAAGTGAAAGTTCGTTTTACGACTTTCTAAACTCTCCAATAAATGGACAGAAAGCTGTGGTTGATTTCAGGAACCAGAGTGAAACCGAATCATTATTTGCTGCATGTCTTTCTACAACCGTAGTACTTCTACAGAAATGTAAAATTGGCCTAATTCCTCTTTCCATAACAACCTAAAGCTCTGTAAAATTAAGTGGAGTTTCTGTTAACAGCTATATGCTCAGTTAGAGCTAGACCTGGGCTTTGACTAGGCCATTTAAACAAATTGGTAATTGAAGGTTGTTTCTTTTAATGTCTGGCTCTGAATGCAAACCTTCATCCCACCGAGCAAAAATTGAAATCATAGCCAATTTTTCTTTTTTTTTTAATTGAGCAGGTAGGTGAGACATTTTGCCAATGGAACAAGACCATTTACATTTAAGATAAGAAAAAATGCGATTGCAGGCTCTTATTTCAAGTGCATTATATCTAAATATCTTACTTTAAGTGTAAAAATACTTAATTCCTGCTCAGTTTAAGGCTAAATACACTTATTTCAAGAAATTTGTATTAAATTTTAGATCGTCTTTGCAATGTAGTCTCCTGTGTTTGTATTCACTTTGACCAGAATCAGAGTCAAGTTCATTGCCATGTTTGCACTCACAAGGAATTTGATTTGGTGTTGATGATGCAGACAAATAAGCCCTCCGTAGAGGGCAAAGACCTTGTTGATGAGGCTGGTAGTTAATGGGAGGAAACTGTTCTTGTGGCGTGAGGTTTTGGTCTTGATGGACCACAGCCTCCTGCCAGAGGGAAGTGTCTGAAATAGTTTGTGGGTGGGGTGTGAGGGATCAGCCTGCACCTCTGAGGCGTACAGATCCTGGAGAGATGGAAGATTGCAGCCGATCACCTTCTCAGCAGACCGGATGACACACTGCAGTCTGCCCTTGTCCTTCCTTGTTAATGCTTAACTGAAAAGGGCATCATCAGTTCTAGTTTTAATCCATGTTGTCTAGAGCATTTTGTTTTATTACATTTCTTATGCCATTTTGATAAAAGCCTCTTTTTTTACATTTGCTGTGTCATTTACAAGACTAAAAACTTCCCTAAACAGGACGTAAAACTATGGTCTTTTCAAGAGATTTTCCCACCTGAGTTGTGGAATTCTGCAGCCTTTCCAGAGCATCTATTGGCCTCTTGGCTCTTTCCATCTTAATCTTCGTTTGTCAGTTTAGCTGGTCACCCATGTTCTGCTATGTTTGCTGTTCCACAGACATTTTAATATTTGATGCTCAAAGCTTTCGTGTGTGCCGTTTTAGTTTTCATGATGCCGTTTGCTCACCAGCCTTCAGGGTACAGCTGTACCAAAGTGGATGGTTATAAAGTCAAAAAAATGTCTGAATACTATTGCAGAGGGAATTTCTGATTCTTATTTGCCATTTAAGATGTTTTAGTTTTAACTGTGATCCCTTTCCATAGGGGTAACTGACATATCAGATTTAAGACTTTTCATTGACCCACCACTCTTTATAATTGTCTCAACATATGCTGTTTTTCTTTCAGAGATAGAAAAAGTACATTCACGCTTTAGTAATAAATATAGACATCTTTAATAGCATTTCATTAGTTCAAGAATGCCACAAGTTATAAATACAGCCAATCCCCTTTAGTCCACTCAGAGACTGGTTTGACACAATATAACAGACATTCATCATAAAGGATACTCATTGCAGATACGATGCAATTCTTTAAATGTATAGTTAAAAACAACAAAGTAGTAAAAGGGTTAGTGCCAAAACATCTAGAGGAAGGTTCATTCCCAAACAAACAGCACAATCTGAAGAAATGCTCACACTTCCAAACATGTGATGACAATCCAAATGTTCTCAGATAATCCCTGCACAAAGGGTCTCCTGCTGGATGATAATCTCATTGCTTAAATGTGCATAGGCGATACTATCAACACGTTTCTGAACATTTAGTATTTGTCCAAAGAACCAATGCTTGTTGATTCTGAAAAAAACAGAAAACTTCAGTTGAACATGTCAACTAATATTAGATCCAATTCTTTTCAGTGTCTTAAATGAAAACTGAAGATATTGCGAAAATTTCTCAAATAAAAATAAACATTTAAACAAGCCCTTAATTTTAAACTTTGAAGAAATGCAAGATAACTAAAGGTCTAAACGTGTTCTGTTATACAAACACTTCTCTGTGTAAAAGGTGAGGCTTAAACCGGGTTGAGTTAGATGCAGTATACAACTTCACCACTAGATGTCACAACATCCAACGTGATGCAACTTTAATTCATTACGGTTCAAAATCAAATCCAGACTGTGCAGCTCTGAGCCAATCCAAGTTTCCTGAGTTATACAAACAATAACCATGTCACCTTTAACCTTTCTCCTCCCCTCTTCCCTCTGCTGTTGCTGAATTCAGAAAAAAAACATAAAACAAAGAAGTATTAGTAACAAGAAAATGTAAAACCAGCTGGCGTTGTTATTGTCATTTCCCTCAGGTTAGCCAGCATCACAAAAAAAAAAAAAAAAAAAAAAAAAAAAAAAAAAAAAAAAAAAAAAAAAAAAAGAGTTCCCCTGGTTTGCACAAAGATGCCCAAGACTACACTACCCATAATCCCCTTGCATCTACATCCCACACAGAGCGTAGCCACTGCTGAGACAGCTTCATTTTCATTAGTGCCAAAGTACAACGCCTGTCTTCTGTTTTCCTGCACACAAGTTTAAACTTTGAAAAGTGCAAAACATTACAATTGATATCAAATTAATTTCCACATTACAGCCATTTTAATACTTTAAGGTAATGTAACATAAATTGATGACTCGTATAACCTTCCTCTGTCCAAATAACCGCTAAACCTCATCCAGTCACTACAGCTACAACTACAGCTACTATATTTATTTCCTATTGTGCTTTTTTTTTACTTTAAGTCATTCTGTCAGTAGGTAAAACAACAAAAGTCCAAGAAAAATACAAACCTGTCTACTGTACCAGGAGACATGGAGTTTGAAATGAACTCAGGAAATGTGAGAAATCATCCCTTTTGTCAGCAAGTCTTAAAACTAAAAGATAACCTCAACTCAAAGGATTTTAAACTTAGTGAGAGGGACGATAAAAAGGAAAATGGGAGAGAAGCTGTGAGGCGTCCAGTGATTCCCTCTGTTAGGAAGGATCTCCATCTGGAAGACATACCTAGGTTAACCATCCAAACAATGAGGTAGTCTGGGTCACGTGTAGACAGAAGGGTGGTAGGAAGAAGATTCTCCAGGCTGAATTGTTAGTGTGCTGCAGCTTATAGTGTTCAGTAACGCAGGAGAGAAAGCAACAGAGAAAGAGTAATACTGCTTATTTCATGCATCATCACAGCAGCAGGTGACAATTGTAAAGTGCTGCTGTGTGCTGCCACCATGTGGTCATGATGGTGCGCTGCATGTTTCAGAGAGTGTCTGCTTGAGATGGGGGGGTTTCAGCAACAGCGCATCCGGGGAGGGGGCAACTCCGGTGGCACTTCAGGTTCAGGCTGCAGAGACAGAACGCTGTTGGAGAGCTCCTTGTTAGGAACTTCAAGAGGCATCTGAAGGATCGGGGGACAAGGTCACAGAAAGGAGAATTAGTGAGACTAAACTTGCATCAAATAATGGCTTCTTAACAGGTTTTCTGTGACTTTAATATCTAAAAGTACAATTCCTAAAAAAGAAATTAAAGAGTGAGTACCTTTTTAGGATTCTTTTAATGACCCTAGTTTAAAGGAGGTTCTCAGAGGATTTAGCTTCAATAAAATGTGTTTTTGTTTTTTTTTTAACAAATCTTTAACTTAAAAGATAAAGGGACGTTTAGGTATAATAAACAAATTCATGTAATAATCAACAAATTCACGTAATAATCATGTATAATTTCAACAGAAAATGTCTTTTAAAAACCCCAAAAACACTAAAATTAATGGAAAAAAAATAAGTGTCCCGTTTCACATAACCAATTAAACATAAGGCACCTCAAGCTTATCATTAGCTTTAATTAAAATATATTACTCTATTTTTTGTCAGGTCACTAAACAGTACTTAGGTGCGCATCAATGCTCTGCTCAGGCCGCTTGCCTAAAAGCTCACCTATGTACCTTTAGAGTGTTATATCTGAGTGAGTCATGTGACTCCGAGCAACGCTTTACAGCAGTCTGAGCTCCCCTTAAACACGGCCGCTAACTAAGCTAAGTGTTGCCTGGCGACCAAACCTATTCAGACATACTTTTGCTTCTTTAATGTAGGCTTTATTCTAGATAAATGTGGCTTTGCCTTTTCAAATAAAAACAATATCTCAATCTGGTCCAAAGCGGCTTATGAAGACATGGACGAAATTTGGATTTAAGAAGTGGGGGGATGCAAGTATTTTTTAAATATAACTAACTTCAGGGTGTTTTACCATCCAATAACAGACCCAATTCAGTGGCGTATCAGATATTTGTAAAGTGAGCTTCTCAGGAGTGACAGGGGTGACAGCCAATCACATACACACAAAAAAAAAATCAGGAGCTTGTGGGCAGTCCAAATTCAGGGAAGCGGGCTTCAGCTTAAGCTGCGGTTTTCCGGGTCCTAGTCCTCGATGATTGTCTGTGTACTGTAATGTGACATTGTTTTTGGACAGTAAAACGTGCAGGGGACCAAAACAGACGTTTCACAAAAACACAGGGGACAAATGTGTAAAGGCAGGTCTACCTCTACCTCTATCCCTTTCTACTCGTTTTTGTTGAACATAAGAAAAGATGTTCAGTATTCTTAGCTGTAAACTGCATCTCCCTCCCAAGAAAAACAATAAAAAAAAAAAAAATCATAAGACACTAACCTTGCTAAGAATGTCATCAACAAGCTTAAGGAAAATCTCATCCACATTAAAATTATCCTTGGCACTGGCTTCACAAAAGCGCATTCCACTTATTCGAGAGGCAAACTGTAAGAGACAGAAAATGACAATTCAGGAATTTCCCTCCAGCCTCAAAGAATCTGCTAAAGCTGAGGAAAAGCATTAGCATGACAGACGTATAAAGCAGGTCAAGGGTCAACTCATCAGCCAGTTCAAACGAAAGAAAAGATTTTACTCTAGACCAATTGGTATTAGTGGTCTGAATGTGTGACCCACCCTCTCTCCTTGTTGTCTAGAGATGATCCGATCAGTCTCACAGTCCAGCTTGTTCCCCACTAGCAAAAGCTCTGCTTCCTCTGAGGCATACTACCAAGAGCATAGAGGAAAACCTATGTTATTTAAATCAGCTTTTACATATATATAATTTTTTTTTTTTTGTCGCTCAGGCAGCTTCAGAAAGTTTCCCCGTTCTTTTCCAAAAGGAGGTATCAGAACACAAAGCTGCTCTTGTAAAAAAAGAAAAAAAAAAAAAAAAAAAAAGAACACCCATTTGCTTATTAAGAGACTTCTTAGGGCGATAAGTGGTTTTATTTAGAGGTGTTCATTTAAAGGGGAACAAATGCAGTTTTCTAGATATATTGGTAATTTATAAAATATAATCTGTGCAACCCAGTTTGTGTTTTTCTTTTTTTGTTCATTACACAGTTATAAGGTGTTAACTAAAATCCACTGAGGTTTGTGTGGATAGTCACTGAGGATAGCCACATGTGAAAAAAGAGCTGCTATGGACGAAGGAGCTTAAATATAACCATGAAGTCATCAGTCTGAACAAAACAACAGGGATATGTGATTCAATCAGTCCAGTGATAATTTAGAGAGAGCCTCAGCACACAAAGGGGGAGGGACTTCTAGGGCCGGGCTGCAGTGTCCCTTCATAACGCAAAATGTCCCTAATAATGCGACACAATATTAGTAGGGCAGCAACAAACAATTTATTTACAAATCGATTAATCGGTCAATTATTTATCGATTATTAATTGGACAGCCAAAGATTCCTTTAAGAAGAATTTTTACAAATATAAACCAGGTGAAACCCAAACTTTTCTACTTGTGGAGTTCTGGATAGAAGATATTGACAGACAAAATAGTTTTTTTTAGTTTAGCTTAGTGCAAAATGTTGACATATATTTGAACAATCTTGGCATAATTACTGCTCTACGTGGGTCGCTCTGTCAGCTAAAGGCACGTTTTAGAGTCCCCATAATCCAATTAACGATTGATTACTACACTATTTGACGAATATTTCAATAATCAATTACACCGATTGTTTCAGGCCTAAATATGAGACACACATTTGTTTGTTTTTCAGTTATTTACCTTGTCTATCATTTTCATCCATTTAGGAAGGTCCTCAAAAGTCTCCTGTTTTGTGATATCATAAACCAGCACTATTCCTTTGGCTCCTCTGTAGTAGGCTGATGTGATGCTGTTAAACCTCTCCTGGCCTGCAGTGTCCCTGCAAAGACAAAGATTGAACCCAAATTATCAACTTATCTGAATTCTGAATAGAATTGAAAAAAAAAAAGTCTTTGAATCAGAAATAATAAACTTTAAATTTAACAAGATTTTCTGTGTATTTATTGAAAAAAAAAACAATTATGCAAACTTGATCTAAAAGCAAACACAAAAGGTTTCATATCATTGTTAAAATCTTTTCAATGTTCTGTGGTATTTTCTTGCATTAAAAACAGCCATAACATTATGATCCTTCCTTAGAAGGTACATTAACATTTTTTCTTTTTTTGCAGAACACCATGTACTCATTGCCTTCCACTTAAACTTTCAACAGGATGTGTTTGTCTACATCATAAGATCCTAATAAAACACATTGAGGTTTGTAGTTTTACTGTTAAACTTTGGATTTCAGCAATGCACCGTACAAAGAATTTGTGGTGGCTAGAAGCAACATTCTGCTGAAGGCATGGAATTCTCTATACACAATAAAACCCAAGTGGTAAAATAACAGTAAAGAGTTAAAACTGAGGCTGAGTTTTCAATTTCCACAAGTTTTCACCCACGGTTGTGTGTATAAGCAAAAAAGAAGATCAAATCTTTGCGATCAAGATGTTATGGCAGAGATAAGTCAGCTGTTAACAGATTGATCAGAGGAAAAATACAACAACAAAAATCATTAAAACAATATGTGCTTTATTTCATATTTAATGATTTTAATGAGGATCATCTGGGTCTAAATTGGAAACAAGACGAGCAGTATTACTTTACCTTCAGCCAGCTAGTTTCTCCCTTTTCCCCAGTGAGTCACAGTCAGGCTTATGAGCAGGAGAGTGGACAGAGACAGCAGCAAATGGAAGGGTTAGGTGAGACAGGACACAGCTGAGGTGGAGCCTGATGAGAGCTTTTGAACACCAGAAAATACACAACCACACACACCTGCTAGGCGACAGCCTTCCAGATCAGAAAGAGGACCAGGAGGAGTGAGGAAAAGCATGATGGTGATGGAGGGCGGGTGTTAGTAAGGAAGACAAATCTGCCAGTCACACAAGCAGTGAAGTTCCCACAAGCTAAGCACATTTACACAACAAAGACATCCTAAAAAATTGATTTTGTTCAGCTGCAATTTTTCTGTGGGTTTAATTCTTCACTTGTCTTCACTATTTTAAATGTAGACTGTTCTAAGTTTAATTATCTAAAGTCAAAAAGAAAACTTTGAGGATTTAGCATCTTCACTTACTTGGATTATTTGCATATTTTTTTGTCCCCGTACTAATAAACAAACCTGTCTCAGAGGTCTACACTCTCAGCCTAACGACTTGTTATTCAGACACAGAACATTAACTCTACCACTAGAGCTAAACATGTGCTAAATATGTCAACTCTAATAACAGGAGTGGTTTAATGCAGACAAAAGAGCCCCAGAGGTAGTTTTTATTTGATCAACAGATAGAAAATGTATCAAACAGGCTTCACAGATCAACAACAATTTTCTATGATTTCTTTTTTAAGGTTTAATTAATTTTTTCCTTTATAATTAATTACATCCAAGCCCTTTTTGTATGCATTATCTCCATCAGCAAATCCAATACTGCAAATGCATCAAAGTTATTTATTCAGATAGAAAACTCAAAACAAGAAGAACTGATCACTGCTGTTGCTGTAGCAGCTAGAAATGTTTCCCACAAGAGTAGCTGCTTTTGCACAAAGAGTAACAAGCGATATACCTTGTAGTACTTAAACGTGTGTGGAAGCTTTGTTGGGCTTGTGTTAATAACTATCTGGGTCTTTTATTAGAGTAAGAAATGCTTATACTAGCTAATAATTAGATAAATAAGACCGTCATTAGTGGTTGACATTTTAAGAAATTACTTTGTTTTGACACTTTTCCCAGTGTTTAAAACATGCAAAATGTGTCGTTACAGAAAGTTGTGTGTGGTTTGATATAATTGCATTTTTAATCTGAAACAAGTCATTTGTTGTGGATTTTTGTTTTTTGACTGGGACAAGAGCCCAACAAGTCCTTATGTATCTGCCAGGTTGTGTCTGTTGGACATGAAATGAGGGCTGGAAACTTAACATCAAAATTATCAATACTTGTCGCTGAAGGGCGACAGTGGCGTCGGATGTTGGAGTTTGCCCTGAAATCGAAGGGTTGACTGTTCAAGCCCCGGCCCTGACTTTCAGTGTCGTTGTGTCCTTGGGCAAGACACTTCACCTGCATTGTCTACTGATGGTGGTCAGAGGGCCCGGTAGCGCCAGTGTACGGCAGCCCCGCTTCTGTCAGTGAGCCCCAGGGCAGCTGTGGCTACAATNAATGACCTTCTGCTCCTCCATTAATGAGGGGATCCCTCGGGCACGTAAAAAGTTGCCTAATTCCGTCATTTTTCAACAATGTGTCACTGGCCTTCTCAAGCAACTCACATCTTTGTCAGTGAAGCTCTGTGCTCCCACATCTCTTCCTTTATGGTGCCCATCTACAATAAGATCCAAAATTCTGAGATTAAAGTCAGAATCCTGAGAACAAAGTCAGAATTCTGAGGAAAAAAGTCAGAATTCTGACTTTAATCTCAGAATTCTGACTTTTTTCTCAGAATTCTGACTTTTTTTCCCATGTTAAACTGAAATAAAATTTAAAAATTAGTTAAACTTTTTTTTTTTGTCAGTGGTCCTAATCCTCTTCCGTAGAAACAAGTCATTTATTGTGGATTTTTGTTTTTTGACTGGGACAAGAGCCCACTTTTTTTTTTTTTTAAGTCCCTATGTATCTGCCAGGTTGTGTTTGCTGGACATGGAGTGAGGGCTGGAAACTTAACAACAAAAGTATCAATATTGAATCTAAAATGGCAAAACAGTGAGAAAAATAACCCTGCGTCACAAACTCAGTCTACAATGCATTTATCCTCAGTATCCAGATGAATGTTATCTAGTTTTTGTAATTACTGAAAGTAAATCCATGAAAGTTTGGTTTGGAGCAAAACAAAACCTAACAAAAGACTTTTTGCTTTTCTGTCTTTAGGCTACTATCTGTTTTGTTCCATTCAGGAGAAAGTGTTTTCTTCTTTTGTTGGAAAAGTTGGAATTTTTTTCACCTTTGTTCCAATACTTATAAAGACAACAACACACAGTGGTTCCATTTAACTACATAATTATATATGAGGTATTAATAAATCTCATTAAGCTGCTCTTTTTGCCAAAGAGCTGTGTTGATTTTACAGATCTGTAAAGGAGAGCTCTGTGTTCACGCCTTGAAGCTTTCTCTAAACTCTTTAAATAACACTTCAGAATGTATATGTATTAAATAAGAAAGAGATGAGATTTCTGACATAAATTGCAATCTTACTCAGACCAGAGAAATTGCTTAGTTACAGAAGTCAGCGCTTACCAACCGAGCTCACTTCTCCTTGAATCACAGTTAAAGAAGCAGTTTATACAGCTTCAATACGCCACATCATCACATTATTACATCATAAACGTTTGTAAATGAGGAGACATCCATGGCTCCAGCCTTATCCAGCTATTACTCAGTGTCTCAGATAAAAGAACAGAGAACTCGCGGTTAAGAATGATCCAATCCATCTGTTACCCCCATTTAATTTACAAATCTCTGTTATGAACACAATGACGATGATAACTATATATCCTGACAGAAGAAATGTTCTAATTAGATAAACTAGTTGGGGAAACATTAGTTCTGACATGTAACAGGCAGGTATTATTAGGGTTTAACAGACTCACACATCATCAGTAAAAATAAATTTAATAGATCTTAACACATTTGCTTTAGCAAGAAGCAGGCTAACTGACACCCGGTTCTACGCTAAGATGAAACAACTTTTTTTTTCAGTCCATTTATTAAATAATTTTTTTTTTTTTAAACACACTATTCATGATTACTTTCCAGATATTATCTGGGAATTTTAGGATCAGATACTCTTGCTGCCTTATGTGACAGACCTTTTTGCGCTGCAGCTCAAACTTTAAAGTTCGCCCAAAGAATACGTTTAACTCTGTTAAGTATAATTTTAAAACCACACATTTTTCTGGACGTGTGCAAATAGTTATCTGTATAACGAAGTTTGCCCTTCTTCTAGAGTGTAAGCTGGCTTAGCCCAGTATGCCAATAAACTAGACAGAAAATGTAACAAGCAACATTTTGGAGTAGAGTCCAGTCAACAACTCACCATATCTGTAGTCTGATCTTCTTTCCTCTTAACTCAACCGTCTTGATTTTGAAGTCAACACCTTCCAAAGGAAACACAAGGGTAAAAATAAAGAAAAATACCATCATTTTTTCTGTTGATCTATTTTTTTTTCTTTGACTCTTTCAGTAGCAGGTTTAAAGTTTCCAGTTATGGAACAAAGTTCCCTTTAAAGCTTTTCATAAATATCCTTAAACGTTTTCTTATTTTCTCCCATTAAAAAAACAGACCTCATTGTACTTTGTTAGGATTTTATTGGATGCAGGAACATATCTAAGGATCTGCAGTGAAGGCTTCTTTTTACCATTTTGATCTTTTAATAGAAACATGAACATTTTCAAAAATCATTGGGTTATTGAACAGAGTAAGTCCACCTGTATGACTTCAGAGGTTTGCTGAAGAACATTAGTGATCAAAAAGCAAGATTACAGCACACCTAAGCCATCAGCCTAAAGAAAAAAGGAAAAATATTGAGTCTTTTAGATACACAACTAGATGGGCTGTGGTAACGATCGAGCAGCGGCGAAGATTTGAAGTTTAGGATGAAAAAAAATCTGACAGGAAAACTGGCAGTGTACTGCTTTTAGAAACGGCAAGAAGAGAGCCTTTTAAGAAGGTACTTTTTAGAAGTCCCATTTGCATTTTGGTAAAGGCCATGTAGAAAAAATGCAAAGCTTTGCAAATGAAATTTCTGTTTTAACTGCAAAGCATTGCCTGCTGCCAGAAAAACCAACAACACATGGTATTGATAATAAAATATGGTGGCAGTGGATCACTTTTCTTTGGAGCTAAATACTGCGCAATGCCTGAAGCAAAAAGTATGCAAAAGACTAACAACTGGGTTGGAGACTGAGCCATCTGTCGAACAACTATAGTGAACAAGAATCTAAAGCTATAATGGAATGATTCAGTTCACAGCATGTCCGTGTGGTAAAAAGACCAAACCATCATGTTCCTTTACTAAATTCAATTGAGAATGGGTGAAAACCTTAAAATGTTATGTTCAGACACTGCAAACCAACAGGTGACATTTCATAAACAGAATAGACTAAAGAATAAACCTTCACTTGCGCAAAGCTTGAATAGAGATACTATAATTATTTTATTTTTAGTAAATAATTTGGAAAATGTTTTAAAACATTTCATAATCAAAATGAATACATGCACCACCCCCTCATAACCTGGGGTTGTCGAAAGCGTCAGTACTCAGAATTTTATAGATATAAAGATATGATACCAATTTGGTATGGTATAGATAGTTAAGAAAAGCGTTGTTTACATATTTTTGCTATAGTTCATTTTAGATTTCTGGTATTATTTATTTTGCACATGAAACGGCTGGGTTTTTCTAGTTTAATTAATTTTTTTCATGCCTTTGAATATTTCCTTTTTTTTTAAAATCCCATTGGTATTAGACTTGGTATCAAGCATCAAATATTATCCTGGTGATCAATATTGAGTTTGAAATGTTTGCGTCATGACAACCCTGTGATGGAAAAATTCAGTTGGCTAACTACATAAAACCCCTATAAATTAAATTACAAATTGAAGTTGCAATGGGGAAAATATGTGAAGAATGTCCAAGGTGTATAAAAATTGTATTTATATCAACTGACCTTACTGGTGATTGCACAGTTTCTACCTCTTTAGTTAAATAACACGCTGCTGTCATTTTGCAATAACGGATAGTTTTCAAATATCCGTTATTGTAAAAATGTCCATAGTTGTATACTGGTTATTCATTCTCCAGGTGCACAGTTTTATATTGTTACAACACTTTACAGTACATTATTTTATTGTTTAGCTTCTAACTCTTCATTATGTTATTCTTGTACATTTTTTCTAAAATCCACATTTGTGTGACCATTTTTTCTATAATATTTTTGCTGCTATAAACACCAGAATTTCCCAATTTAGGGACAATTAAGGGATTTTCTATTCTATGTTATTACTTTTTACTGCATACTTAATAACAAAATTGCTATTATTGATGAAAACACAACTTTGTATGAAAAACATAGAAATATCCACAGGTGGCCTGTGCTTAGAGGAACATTATATCTGTGAGCTGCTTGGTCACAGGAATGACAGGGAACAACATGGAGCTCCATCATAGCAGCTGCTTGTTTGAGGCTATTTTAGGACTGGGCTTTATGGCTGGATGGGGTCCAGGTCACAGGACTGTTTACAACATCAAACAATAGAAATATGCATTTATGTTTGATTACACAAACGTAAAACATCATTGTTTGCAAGAAAACGTCACATTTGAAAGTATAGGATTGGTTATAGTGAGTCAACTGGACCAGAGTCGGTTAAATAGGCTCCAAGGGGAACTATAATTTAAGGAAATATTTCTATCTTCATATTAATTCGCACATAAAACACATTTTATAACAGCAACTGTTACGTGAAGAGTTTATTTCGAAAAGCCAACATGGAAACTCCAACTTTAATCGGTTACTATGTTGAAACTTTGTAGTTCTTAATCATTGCGGAGAGTTAGCATTAGCTCTGCTGAGGAAATAGCACTCGACTCATTCCATTAGAGGTTTAACGGTCTTTTTCCTCCAGGAAGTAGTCGGGTCCTGTTTTTTCTGACCAACTAAAACTGTCCAAATGAAAAGCAGAAAAAAAAAAAATTACTCCCGAACCTCACCTACTGTCGATTTGCATGACTCGCAGAAAGTGTCGTCGGTAAACCTCTCCATGAGGCTGGTTTTACCAACTCCACGGGAGCCGATAATTATAATCTGAAGTTTGAAGTCAGCGGGTCGGGGAGGCATCTTCCTGCGGCGGGATTGAGCTCCCAGAGCGGGGGACGAGTTAGCGGCGCCCCCGCTGCCACCGGAGGAGGCGGCGGCGGCCCTCCGCGGGATGTCATATCTTGGATCCATCAATGATTCCTCATTTATGACAACAAACGTATCATGTGAACAAACATAAGCTGAAGTACCTCCAAATTAAATTGCTACTTTCAACTTTCTATGTTGTCCGGGGAAGTTAGGGAAAGTTTGGTGCCCGCTAATAGTTGTTGTTGTTCAGCCATTAGAGACCGTGAATGCCGTGACGTCATTTCCGTTTCCCAGACCCTTTTTATCCAAATATTTACATTTTAGAATATAAAATCGAACAAAAAGAAATAATAAACCACAAAAGAGTCAATTGAATAACTCCTTTTTTTATGTTTGTAAGATGAAAAATTTAATGAATGTACCTCATATGCTTTTAGTTGTTTTATGGATTGTAAATACAAAAGCAAAGGTGTCTAAATATACCTATGTACATTTTTTTTTTTTGGTTTATAATATATGTCTTAATTTTAGGAGAACGTTTTTCATTTAATAATTTTTGGTCCGGGGATGTATTTGCCTTGCCCACTGGGTCAGAGGGCCATGTCTTTTGATGGATGGGGAGAGTGGGTGCTATCCTAGATGGAAGTCTGCTTTGACAGCTTGGTGCAGGGATGGAGATGGACATGCTGCCCCTGTCATCAGCACACATACATACATGCATGCTTAGTGTAAAGTTAACAGATTTATCACAGGTTTATCCAATTGCAACTCCACATAGGTTACCCTTCATACTTTAACATTTTCCTTTGGCTATTTTTGATTAGCATGGTTTGCTGACTGCACTGGACTTGACCTGTTGTTGCTCCAAACCAGCTGTGTCAAGTAACGAATTACAATTCGTTACTGTACTTTTTACTGTACTTTTTAGGTATCTATACTTTACTCCATTACTTATTTTTCTTCCTAGTTCTGACTTCTACTCATTACATTTTCACACAAGAACCTGTACTTTCTATTCCTTACATTTTTAAAACAAACATTACTCATTACTCTTGGCTTTGGTTTAATGTTTATAAATATTTATGTCACATCATATGCGCCATCCATTGCAGATTATTGGCACCATCCACATCTAGTGAAAACTAGTGTACTGTAACTGGATGAGTCATAGAATGCAAACACTCATTGGTTAGCTAAAGGAAATCTGGCTATTTTTTTAAGGTTACTTTATACTTTTATACTTTAAGTAGTTTTTAGAGCAAATACATTTTTTTTTTACTTGAGTGAAGAGGTCAAGTTGATACTTGAACTTTTACCAGAGTGTTTTTAAACTGCAGTATCTATACTTCTACTTAAGTAACAAATGTGTGTAATTTTGACACCACTGCTCCCAGCTGGTCTGAGTTATTTGCCTTGCTTCCCTCCTCAGTCATTCTGGAGCCAAGGTGCATCATTGCTGTAAGTGAAGTTTAAATCTTGCAGTTGCAAAATTTTTATAATTTCAAGGGAAAATTGCAAGTAAAACACAAATTGTACTAGTGCAGCTTGTTGATTTTGAGGCAATATTGAGTCGTGATTTACTTAAAAACTCTGCCCCATGAAGGTAACCCCCTATTCCATGTGGTATGGTTAAAATAGCTGAGGAAAGGTTACATAAAAAAACAAAGAAACATGGAATGTCTTACTTATCAGATTAAAAGAAATAATGTTGAATTTTAAAGTTACAAAAAATGTGAGATTCCAATTTTAGTTATTTTTTGGAGAAAAGCTTAGATCACAGAAATTAGCTTCCTTACCTGAAAGAGATAATCTGGCACTGAGGGTTTTTTATTTATTCCTAATGGAACATTTCCTTAAGTCACCCCTCAGAGACCATGCAGACCAGCTTTGATGTAAAGTTCTTATCACTACAGTGTTTTAAAAAAAAGTGTCAAAGTAGTACAATATTTAAATATATTTAAGTTCGCATGTTATGTGAAAGCAACCTGAATAAACCCTAAAGGTATTAAGCTCAAGCTACTAATAGTGGAAGGATGTTGATCCATTTATACCTGATGGTAGTCTTAATACTTAGTAGCACAGTGATGCCCCTGAATATTTTTTAATTTATATTCATCATCTGTTTGGAAAATGATGTGATATTTACGGAAGAGGATTAGGGCCACTGAAAAAAACAAAAACAGATTTTTTAATTTTATTACAGTATAATATGAGAAAAAAGTCAAAATTCTGACTTTGATCTCAGAATTCTGAGAAAAAAAGTCAGAATTCTGAGATCAATGTCAGAATTCTTAGATTAAAGACAGAATTCTGACTTTTTTCTCATATTATACTGTAAAAAAATTAAAAAATCTGTTTTTGTTTTTTTTCCTCAGAATTCTGACTTTAATCTCAGAACTGTGACTCTTAATTTTGGATCTTAATGTAGATGGGCACCATCAAAGAAGACGTGGGATCTCTCAGCTTCACTGACAAATATGTGATTTGTTTGGGAGGAACAGTAACACATTGGTGGAAAATGACAGAATTAGGCAACTTTTTACGTGCCCAAGGGGTCCCTGGTGATGCTATTTCATTAATGGAAGAGCAGAAGGTGATTAAAACAAGAGAGTTAGTTTAGTCTTTAAAACATACTTTGCCACGGCTTGATGCTAACATGTTTGTTAGCTATCAGAATTCAGTCGGGATTCTGAGATTAAAGTCAGAATTCTGAGATTAAAGTCAGAATTCTGAAATTTAAGTCAGAATTCTTAGATTAAAGTCAGAATTCTTACATTAAAGTCAGAATTCTGACTTTCCCCCCATATTAAACTGAAATATTTAAAAATCTGTAAACTTTTTTTATTTTTTCAGTGGCCCTAATCATCTTCCGTAGATATGCCTTATCTTTATTCATTTCATTATTCTTTTGAGTGTGTGATGTTGTCTCGCTGTAATGTACTTCGGTCAGCTCTGGATGTCAAAATGTGCTTTATATATTGACTGAAAATTTTAATTCATAAGAACAAAGAATATACATTTATTTTTCATGAACCTTGTAATGGCTAAAATGGGCCTGGAATCGAACTGTTTTGCAAACGAAATGCATCCTAACAGCTGTTTGTCCTCCGCGGCACCCGTAGGCTGCGACAATGAATGACGTTTCATTAGAGGAGGAGTTCCTGTTAATCCAAACACAGACGAGAGCAATATTCACGGGTAGTTATCGATACCTGGACTATTATACAGCGTTGACTCTACCGGGATGGCGGCTCAGAAGATAAACGAAGCCCACGAACACATAGCAAAAGCTGAAAAATGGTGAGGAGCGACATAAATGAGGCTAATGGAGTCTCTGTTTATGTAGCTAGCTGCTGTCAGGCCACTGTAGCATCTTTAGCACATTAAACTACGACATTGATTTAGCTTTAAAGAATCGACACGATCTCAGTTTATTTAATATAATGTCTTGGTCTGTTTCTAATTAATTCGTGTTTTTAATGTTGTAGCTTAAAGACGAGTCTGACCAAGTGGAAACCTGACTTTGACAGTGCGGCATCAGAGTACGCCAAAGCAGGTAAACCAGACCCAACCCTGTTTACTCAGAGAAGTACGGCTTTTTGTAAGAGTTTTACCGCATTAAGTGTAAATCTCCTGTATTTTTAGCTGTTTGCTTCAAGAACGCAAAGCAATATGAGCAAGCTAAGGATGCTTACCTGAAGGAGGCGGAGTACCACACGGAAAACAAGACGTATCCTGTCTCTGCAGCACTCAGCATCTCATTATAAACACATGGAGCAATGTTTAGACCATTTACTGTCTAAAGTGGATGTGTTTTTAAGCGTTTATACTGTTTCATTCATCCTCTTGGTTGCAAATATCTATATAGAATAACCAAAAATGACCTAAACAAGCCCTTTTTATGCCTTTTTGTTAAGAGAAAGGCGGCATAAAGGTTATCCTCTAAATGTGATCTGAACTCCTGTCACACGTATCAACCTTTACAGAATCTCAAACAGCTAAGGGTTAATTTTCTTTATATTTTTTTCACTTGGAATTCACCAGGATCCAAATGTCCTTTTAACCTAAATAACAAACCTCCCATCTTGGACCTCAGAGGTCAAGCAATCAGAGCACCCTTTGCAGAGCTCCATCAAATCATCAGTCTATGACAGGCCACAAAATAATAAGACTGCACTATATTAAACTATCCAAATACTAACTGTATAACAGATATTCTATTACAATCTCAATCCAGTTTGACCAGCTGACAATAACAGCGCTTCAAAGATAACTGAGTGATGGACAGTTGTGTTTTTTCAGCATAGATTGAAATTATCTTTATAGAAACTACAAATCTTCTAATATAAACAATCAGCTTTAACTAGTGTTGCACTGATACTGATAATGGTGGTATCAGTATCAGCGAATACCAACCAATAGGGCACAGATACCATTTAGAGAGCCGAAAGTTTATTCGACTATTGTCACCCATTCCAGGTAGACAATGAAAATTTCTACTGGATTCACTTTGTATTAGTCTATTTCCTGCTTCATAAAGATAGACAGCAGCTTGACAAAGCCATGATATTATTTTACATCCAAGTAGTATGCAGTTCTTCATATATACACACATACAATAAAATTGGTATCGGTATCGGCCAATACTGCACAGCCGGGTATCGGTATCGGGGCCACAAAATGGTATCGGTGCAACGCTAGCTTTAACAACCTGTAATACAGACAGTATGTTTGTTACCTTTTTATATTCAATTTCTGGCTGAACTTCAGTAATTACACTTTAAAACATGATTGAATGTAGTTATTTAATTGGATATTGTCTTATGTTAGACCTATTTTTAATATAAAAACTTCTACTCTCGGGCTCCTTTTGTGTGAAGAAGTGAGTTCCTTCTTTTCATCTGTAATTAAACGGATTGATATCCAAGTTAGAGTATAATACTCTTTTTAAGCAGGAACTGTTTTGCATTTGTTCTCAATGTTTCCTTAACTTGAGCTTCAGACTGTTTCATGCTGCAAAGTAAGTATGTTTTAAAGCTGACTTTTAACCAGTTGCAAACAGGAAACTAAGGGTTTGGCTCTAATTGTCCTCTTTCTTCAGGGCTATTGAGCAGGCCGGGATGATGATGAAGGTAAATGGTAAAGACTTTATAGATCTGCTCTGAGGTGATATTCCTGCAGTGTTAATTCGTCTGCTGTGTTACAACAGGAGCAAAAGAAAATGCCAGAGGCCATTCAGTACATAGAGAAAGCCTGTATGATGTACATGGAGAATGGGACCCCCGACACTGCTGCCATGGCCTTGGACCGGGCTGGAAAGTAAAGCAAACCTTAATTTCTCCAGAGAAAATGATCATCACCATCATTAGATGATAACCTTTGTCCTATATTGTGTAATTAAAACCACACTCTTTAATGCAGCGTTGTCAAACTGTGAGCTGCTGGTTGTGAATTTTGGGCCAAAGCTTAAAAAGATAATGTGTAAGAGTTGCTGTTATCTTATTGTGAATTGAGAAATCTTTCTCCTTCATTACCTCCTCCCTTCTTGCATTTTAATGTCTCTGGCTTCATCATCTTTTAAGATCTCTTTTTTTTTCATTTTCTTGGTGATGGTGAAACCATTTCTTGTGATGCTGCAGCATGCAGTAAGCACTGCCCCTCATTGTGCTGCAGTAGTGCAGACTTTCAGTCTCCAAATGATCTTCACCACCACCTCTCCATCGCACTGAACTGCCAGCCAGAGGAAACGCCTTGTTGTTCCACTCCTTGGTGTTAATTTATCCCATGCTGGCGTCTGTACTTTCATGATTGCAGACTGGCATGGCGCTTCACATGTTTATGTAAAAACTAATTTGAAATTCCCTACTTATGGAAATATATCTGATTATTAGTGGAGGTAATAATACACTAATAACAAAACATATTTAAATGCAGCCATCTATTTCAGGCAAAAAAGGGGAAAAAACCTTTACACAATATACCTTTAACTCAACGTTCCTTTAATGAGATGCCAGAGTGAGCTTAGCTTTCAGAGGCTCTTTGGAGCCTAGAGTGCTGCTCTGCTGACCGTCCCCAACCCGTTTCTGTTTCACTGCCATGCAGGAGGTTGAATAATGTTTTTTTTTTTCCTATTTACAGAAACCACCTGCTCAGCTCATTGGCAATAAATAATAATAATTTTCATTGTAGTTAGAAAATGTTATTGGTCTCATGTGACTCAGGCATTTTCTTCCACACTGTTAATGTCAAACTGGACTTTAATAGTTTTTTAATAGTTTCTTTCTTTACTCTCACCTGAGCTTTGAATCTCTACAGCTCCTCCAGAGTTAGCACAGGCCTATTTTACCTTTTCTTTAAGATCGAAGGTTTGCAGCTTTGAAATACTTGTTTGTTTTCTAATGTTGGTTTAAACAATGGACTTGGGTATCTTCAAAGACTCTGATATTGTTTTATAACATGTCTTCCTTTTTTTATACTGTATAATGGCCCCATATTTCATTTAGAGCTGTCAGGGCAAAGACGACAGAATATAAATATGCAACACTTAGATTTTCTGATTTTTATCAATCAGACATTTTCAAAAACATTTATCCCTTGATGTCCGTTTCACAATTCTGCACCATTTTGCTATTGTAGATCCTATAAAATCTCATTGACATGCAATAGTGGGTTTACAATCTAGAAATGAGAGAAAAGCATAGCGGAGCTTTGCAAAATATCATGGCTTTATAGTTTCCAACTCTTTAGCATCAGGAAAAGAGAAGATCACAGTTCCCTCTTAACTAAAACACATTCTTCCTCCTCAGACTCATAGAGCCCTTAAATCTGGAGAAAGCTGTTGATCTGTACCAGAAGGCAGCAGGTGTTTTTGAGGTGAGCATTTCATTACATGTTGAGTAACTGAGCTTTAAGTAATCTTTCTATTAATAAATAACTTCTTTGTATTATGTTTGCAGAACGAAGACCGTCTTCGTCAGGCAGTGGAGCTGCTGGGCAAAGCCTCCAGACTCCTTGTCAGGTTAAAAAGGTGAAGGAATCTGGGATCATTTAGTTTTAATTTTCTTCCAGTTTTTGTAAGATAATTAAAAACCATAAATGTGATCATGAATGAAATATAAATGCTTATTGTTCTGCTAAACAGGCTGGATGAAGCTGCAGTCGCCCTGCAGAAAGAGAAGAACATGTACAAAGAGATCGAGAACTTTCCCATGTGTTTTAAGGTGGGTCAGCTAGGTGTTTTGGTTCTAAATGATAGAAGACATTCAGGACTCGTTCTGGTCCATATATGCTCTGATTTAGCCAAACAGTTTTTTAACCACTTTCTTACTCAATCAGCCCATAATAGTCTTAACTGGACTATTTTACTTCTCTTGGATAGAATGTAAAAAAAAAAAAAACAGGGTGGAGCATAATGGTTTTTATGAATGTTAATTCTGTGTCTGATCATCTGAATGATGAGTTTCTTCAAGCCGGACAAACATTCATTATGTCTCATTATGATGCGAAGGTCCAAAGTTTACCCTCATAGACGTTTAACCATCCAACCGTTCCTCCATTTTTCTGTCCAACCTGTTGTCTGTGGGTCTGTTCAACCCGTCTTATGCCCAACCATCTGTTCGTTTATTATTTCTGTTTTTCACTTTGCCCATCCAACCTTTCTTCACTCTATCCATCCATTCTGTTCTCCATTCACCCATACACCTACCGGTATATTCTGGCCATCTATCTAAACTCCATCTATCTATCTATCCATTTTTTTTCATGCAGTCATCTGCCCACCCATGGTCACATATTTCATTTCTACTTTTGTCATCCGTTCATCCATCTTGTTTTTTCTTCTCTTCATCTTCCGCTCTGCCATCCCTCTAGCCATCTATCTTTTCATAAATTTGTCCATCCTTTTCTCCCTCTACTCATCATGTCTTCTGTCGTTTTGTCCCTCTAGCTATCCTCTTGTCCCTTCGTCCCTTCACCTCCTTGTAAGTTGATCCATTCATCCACTTATTCATCCTGTGGTCTGTCCATTTGTCTTTTTGTCCTCCTGTCTTTCCATTTCTGTAGCAGTCCTTTGTCCCTTTAGCTGTCCCCTTGTCTCTGTGATTATGTCCCTTTATCTTTCTATGTCAGTCTGTTCTTTCATTTACCTGCTATCTGTGCATCGTTGTTATAAATCCATCCTTCCTTCCTTTGATTAAAATTTCTGCCCTGTCTTTAATGTAAACGTCCTCTTTTAAAATGACTCCTGTTGACAGAAAAATCTGGGAATTCGATCTCGTAAATTTGAGATTCTGAAATGTGTAGGAACTCATTCTATAGAGAACAAAAATACAATAAGCTGTGCAAGGTTTTGTTGTGTAATGAACTATAACCTCAGGTCAAGCCTATAATGAGGAAAACAGGTTTTTTCATTTACTGAACGGCTATTCTGATTTTCTAGAAAACCACCGCTCAGGTGTTGGTCCATCTTCACCGAGGCGACTTCGTGGCAGCGGATAAATGCGTGCGGGAAAGTTACAGGTACGCCGTCGGCTCCAAATCCCCCCTCACCATCTTTAACATTACTTTCTAAACTGAGGGGCAGCTTTTATAAAGTACTGCTTCTCCTCCAGTCTGCCGGGCTACAGCGGTAGTGAAGACTGCGTTGCCATGGAGACGCTGTTGCAGGGATACGATGAGCAGGATGAGGATCAGGTCTATCGAGTCTGCAACTCTCCTTTACTGAAGTACATGGACAATGATGTGAGTACTCATAAAATAGGATAGGGACTAGAAAACATTCATACAGGGAGAACTTTCCAAAAAAAAGTTTCTACTATAGTCAAGTGAAGAATAGAAGAAAGAAAATACAGTTTTAGAAATACTAATCAGAACACAAATCTACAAATCTCTGTGAGACGTTTGTTAATCTAGATGGACAGACAGCATATTTGCACATCCATAATTGAGTCTTTCCACAGATTAAAAATTAGATCTAGATGTGGACTTTGATTAGGCCATTTTTGCACATAAATATCCATGTTTTATGTAGCTAACTGGGATGGAGATTTGTCCTCCAGCACGATAACGCTCCTCATTTGGATCATTTAATCTTAATTTATGGAGCTATTCATATTCACACACATGAAACACAGTGGGCTTTACAGAGGTTAGAAACAGGAGAAACTCTAGAGACACACATGCAATAAAATGTTCAAATTAGGTATACAGAGAGATTAGACAAATGATTATAGTGACAATAATATATGTTACATTCATGCTGATTTTGAGCAGTTTCTTCATTAGTCAGTTAATAACATGCAGCCGTCATTTTGCACATCTCTGATGTTGCTGCTATTTTCAAATATCCATTACTGTAAACATGTCCATAGCTGTAGATTGGTTATTAATTCTACAGGTGCACAGTTTTATATGGTTAAAACACTTTACAGTACAGTATTTTATTGTTTAACTTTTAACTTTTCCCTATTATGTTATTCTTATACATTTTCTAAGGTCCACATTTGCGTGACATTTTTTTTCTATCATCTTTTTTTACTGCTGTAAATATCAGAATTTCCCCATTGTTGGAGGATAAAGGGAATTTCTATTCTAATAAAATAAACTGAACTGTTGAAGACATTGAGGTGATCAGTGTGGAAACAGATAAATATTGTATATTAGGGAAACTATTAAAACACCAACATTGAAATCATATAGATTTAAACGGTACAAAGGTACCATTTAAGCAGTTTTTCTCATGTTATGAAACTGGCCCATATACCAACCTCTTTATATGAGGCTCTGTGGCCTCCAGTAGGTTTTATTCCAGGCTTACACTGTATTAATCTAAACTCCAACTTTCTGTCAACCTGAACAACTAAAAAAACGGCATCCAAGAGCACGATACCTTTACCATCATGTATCACTATGATCACTGTGTGTTCAGGGCGCTGTGTACGTCCCTAAAGATCTCCAACAGATCCGTGAGGTCTTCACAGAAAAACTGAGCTGTAACTGACATCATCTGGACTCTAAGCGCCACACTTTTCTGATTTTTATTGCTGAAATGGTTGAAAAACATGTATCATTTCTGCTTCACCTAAGAAGTGTGAGCTTCTTTGTGGTGTTTTTACTATAATCCTTAAAATCTGAGTAGAATGTGACTAAATGGAGAAAACGTTTGCTAAGCTTTTACAGCATTAATTTAAAAAGTTGTCTCGTGTAGCTGGGTAACAAAATATAAATCCAAGTGCCAATGGTTTAATGAAATAAAAAGCTTATTTCTCTTTAAAAGCCGCTCTCGTTTATGGCTTTGTCTGAGAGATGAGAGATGTTTTAAATTCCTGTTCTGTGTTCCAGTATGCCAAACTGGCCATTTCACTGAGGGTCCCCGGAGGAGGAGGAAAGAAGAAGAAGGCCGCCGCTTCACAAGGGGGCGCTGGCGGGGCGCCTGCAGCTGCAAAGGATGAGGAGGAGGACGAGTACGAAGGCGGGTTGTGTTAACCTCAACCCATACTGTCCATCACCACTTGAACGTCGTCTGTGTTTTAAACCCTTTCAGCCCAAAACAGCGGCCTGTTGCATCTTTAACAAGCTAAAAAAACAAGGGAATAATAAAAACCCAACGGTTTAAACAAGTGTTGCAGAAGAATGAATATTAAGCCTTTAAGTTTTTGTTCATTGATCTGCCTGGTGTGTGAACATGTTCTGTTATGTGTCGTCTCAGTGGAGCTGTACATTTAGCTGTTATTGTTTGTGGGTAGATTTCTAAACACCAGTTCCAATCATAAATACTCTTAACTGCGATTGGACCAGCGAGCTGGACTTTTATTTGTACAGAGATAATTTATTCAGTATTCACTGCTGCTGGGAATGATACCGACTCTATATGCAATCGGACTGGCATTAATGCATGTTTGAAACAAAGAGAAATTATCATGAAACATCCAAAGTAACTATTAATAATCTAGAACAACCCTGTTGTCTTTAGCTTCAGTGACTGGAAAATCAATCAGATTTGATCCAAATGTTCCCCAAGTTTGATCTTCTACTTCACAGCATATGTTACCCTAAAATAAAGATGTATAGATCAGAGTATATCGCCTTTTTTTTTTTAAATATTTAAATAAGAGCAAGTTGTATTGAGAACAATCAAAGGGACCATAGATTGATTTTTGTGTCAATGAGTTGTCTGTTTAGAAATATTCTACTAGGCCTATTAAGATGATAAAGTGGTTGTTTACAGTTTTTTCATTTATCCTATTTCTCTCTAACCCAAATTCCCAAGTGTTGCAACTTCTAAATAAACACGTTTCATGGCCCTCGATGCTTTCCATTTGTCTCTCCTCCATGTTCCTGCTCTGACTGGAACATGTTCTAAGTCTTCACAAATTTGAACCTCAACATCAGCCAGAATGGCCTCAAACAAATCTGAAATGACTTTGCACCTTCCATCTTTGATAAGGCTAATACTTTCTGTCTGTGAAAGTGATATCTAATGTGAATGCATGTATGCTGCTTTTGTGATACCTCCCATCCCAAATGACTGCACTGATCCATTGGGACAAAACATCAGCTAAATCGAGGAACGTTTTTTTTTTTCTCTGACTTGTTCATCGAAGATATTTTAATGTATGTATGAATGATCCCATTAGAATAAACATTAAATATTTTAAAGGTCCCAAATTTTTAAGATCGTTTATTTATTGCATGGGATATATATATATATATATATA